ATAGAAGAGGGAGTTAGACCTATAAAATATAAAATTACAATAAAGTTCCAGTAGTTAAAGCAGTTCGGTTAAAAAAAAAAAGCGGGGGGGGGGGCGCCTGGGTGGCTCAGTTGTTAAGCGTCTGCCTTTGGCTCAGGTCATGATCCCAGGGTCCTGGGATCAAGCCCCGCATCGGGCTCCCTGCTCCAAGAGAAGCCTGCTTCTCCCTCTCCCACTCCCCCTACTTGTGTTCCCTCTCTCGCTGTGTCTCTCTCTCTCAAATAAATAAATAAAAAATCTTTAAAAAAAAAAGCAGTTCGGTACTAATAGTGATTCAACAGATAAAGATAACAATATAAACTCCAAAAACAGACTCCAGAGTACTTGGAAATATAGTTAGTGGTGAAGGTTATATTCAAATAATTAAAGTTGTATTATTTAATAAATTCTATGGGCACAAATAGCTAGCTACTTGGGAAAAAAAATAAAGTAGAAGCTATATGTCATACCTTGCATCCAAATTAGTGCTAGAAGGATGAAAGATTTAAATAAACAAAAATGACAATACAAATATCTAAAAGATAAACTGTCAACAGGAGAAGATATTTGCAATAAATGTAGCGAAGTATTACTTTTTTAATTTATAAAATTCTCTTATAAACCATTAAGAAAAAGACCAATATAATATGAACACAGGACTTGAACAATCATTCCATAGAAAAGAAAAATGCTTTTTAAAAATGTGAAAAATTGATGAATGAGTTGCGGGATCTAATGTACAGCATGGAGACTAAAGTTAATATTACTGTATTATAGACTTGCAAAAAAAGTAGATTTTAGATGTTCCCACTACATACACGCACACAAAAGTTATATGAGTTTATAGCGGTAGTAACTAACCCTATTTTGGTAATGACATGTATCCAATTATTATGTTGTGCTCTTAAATTTACATAGTTATATGTCAGTTATATCTCAAAGCTGGAAAAATATTAAAAATTTCTCATAATTACTAAATTTAAGAAATGAAAATGATAATAAAAAAGAAATACCATATTTCCCTTAAAATATTGACAAAGATCTAAAAGTTTGGTAACAGAAGTGTTTTCCAGGATGTGAGGAAACATACTGTTTATGGCATTGTAAATTGTGACCACCTCATTCAAGAGTGAATTCACAATAACTTCCAAAATTTAAAATATACATACTTCAAACCTTGAAATTCAACATCTAGGAATTTATTCCTCAGTACACTTTCACATGGGCAAAGTGACATATGGACAAATTTTTTTATTACAACATTGTTTCAAATTGCATAGTATTAAAAATAACCTAAATGTTCATTATTAGAGCATTTGTCAAATAAATAATGGTACATATATAGCACATGTGTGGATATATGTACATCTATTTCCTCATTCCTTTAGTTATCTCATCCAATTTTTTGGCTTTAAATACTATGTGTGTGGATGATTCCTAAATTTTATCTGCAGTTCCATTCTCTCTTCTGAATTCCCTTACCACAGTCCTCCTCAGTATCCCCACTTGGATGTCACAATAGACATCTCATACTCAACATATCTAAACTCTTGATCTTCCCCCACAAGTCTCACTTCCTTGACAGCCTTCTTCTCTATAGACAGCAAATTTTATCCTTCTACTAGCTCAGTCCAAAAGCCTTAAGAGTCATCCTCTCTTTCTCTCACAACCAGTTTTCAGTTGAGCAAAAATTCCTTTTGCTCTACCTTCATATTATGTACAGAATCCTACCACTTTTTACCACAGTGGCTGCTGCTATCCTGGTCGACACCACCATAATTTCTTGCCTAGATTATTGCAGTAGCTAGTCGTTTTATATCTGCATGCCCCTGTATAGTCTATTCTGGTCAAAACAATCAATGATTGTTTTAAAACATTGAATCAAATCAAATGTTATTCTTGCTCAGACCTGTGGAATGGCTCCCATTTTACTCAGAATAAAAGACAAATTCCCTACAATGGCCTGAAAGGACCTCCATGATCTGGCCCCTGTTAATTTTGTGACCTCATTCCCTATCACTTGCCTTCTTCATTCAGCCTCAGCCAGCTTGGCTTCTTCAAACATCTTAAATACACTTGTATTCTCCCATCTTAGAGTATTTTCTTCTCTGCTTGGAGTACTCTTTCTTGGGATAGCTATGTGGCTAACTCCCTGGCCTCTTTCAGGTTTTTGCTCAAATGTCACCTTTTCATGAGAGTTACCCTGACTACTTTATAGCCTTAACTTTTCTTTATTACATAGAACTTATAACCTCTTATAACATATTGTAGGCTTTATTGATTTATTATGCTTATTATCGATTGTCTGTTACACTGCCTAGAATCAATGTAAGCTTTTTTTCTTCAATGATAGATCCCAAGGGTTTAGAATATGTTGAATCAATCAATAAATGAAGCAATCTGCAAGACAAATTGAAAAACCCAGAAGTATATATAACTATTCACAACACTCTATAAAATGTGCTATATTTATATAAATGATATAAATGTTTGTAGATGCATAACCATCTCTGAAAGACTATAAAAGAAACTGGTAATAATGGGTACCTGTGGGAGAAACAATACCAGAGATGGGTAGGGAGGCACAGTCTACACTTTAGGATATGCACCTATCATTTCTTTAGTTGAAAAATACAATGCATAGCTGAGCCTAATTCCAGAATTCAAAATTCTTTATAAAGTCTTAATTTTTTTCTTTGAAGATGTTTAATTGTATCACCACTAGATGGCACATACTTACTGATAAATTCTCAAAGAATCCCAGACACAGATTTTTTTAAAAAGTGTTTTAGTTCCCCAAACTCACCAAAGTTTACTTTAGCTGTCTACAGTATTGGTTTTTCTGAAGAAACTTCTATTGGTTTTTCTGAAGAAACTTCCTTAACTTCAATTGTTTAGTGCCATATCAGTTTCTAGGCTATTTTTTACTAATTTCTTATTTAGCATCATTATAACATTTAAGTGGTAAGAATTATCTTAAATCTGCGGATACTAGCTTAGATATTCTTATAGTTTCTCACGTTTTTTGAATTGTATCTACCTATCTTTTCATCTTTTTCTATGAAATTAATGAATAAAATTTAAATACTCTGTGCACAAAAGTAGATTTAAAAAAATAGATTTTTGTTTGATTATATTGTTTGACTGCTTTTATATCAAATAAATCAGTGTCCAGAACAACATGCAATTTAACAACCACTTTCTGAATGCTTACATGATACACAATGAGATTAGGCAAATGGGTACTGTGGAGGACACAAAGATGAAATACTATTTATTGCCTCTATCTTCAGGACCTTTCATTTTATGGTGGGGTGGGGGCAGTTATGAATACAAATAATTATAATACAAGTCAGAATGTAGTAAATGATTAAAAGAAAATATTAAGTGTAATGGGAACACATAGCTTATATTAATTTGGGGATTCCAAGAATAAGGTGGAATTTGAAAAGAGCTTTAAATATATAGACAGTTTCGGGGCGCCTGGGTGGCTAAGTCATTAAGCGTGTGCCTTCGGCTCAGGTTATGATCCCAGGGTCCTGGGATCGAGCCCCGCATCGGGCTCCCTGCTCCGCGGGAAGCCTGCTTCTCCCTCTCCCACTCCCCCTGCTTGTGTTCCCTCTCTCACTGTGTTTCTGTCAAATAAATAAAATATTTAAATAAAATAAAAATAAAAATAAATAAATATATAGACAGTTTCATTCTCTGAATGAACTGAATATAGGTGTTACATAGATTTACATTTCTATATAAAGAGTCGAATTCTATATCTGAGATAAAGATATGATCATTATATGCAAGTGGTAAATACAGGATTATAGAATAAAAACCTGTATTCTTTTTTTTTTTTAAAGATTTTATTTATTTATTTGACAGAGAGAGACACAGCGAGAGAGAGAACACAAGCAGGGGGGGTGGGAGAGGGAGAAGCAGGCTCCCCGCAGAGCAGGGAGCCCGATGCGGGACTCGATCCCAGGACCCTGGGATCATGACCTGAGCTGAAGGCAGTCGCTTAACCAACTGAGCCACCCAGGTGCCCAAAAACCTGTATTCTTTTTGATGGTAAAATTTCCAGGAAGAAAATGGTGGTATGCATTTTATAAACTGTAACATTTAAAAGCATTATAAAAAACTTTTTAGGCAAATTCTGGGTGCCTGGTTCACTCAGTCAGTAGAGCATGCAGCTCTTGATCTTGGGGTTGTAAGTTCAAGCCCCAGCCAGATTGGGTATAGAGATTACTTAAAAATAAAATCTTTTAATTTTAGGCAAATTCTAAGATAACATTGGAAAAATTATTGAGCCAGTTGTCATTTTTAACATAGAGATTCTTTTACTCTTGTTTTTCTTTTCAAAATATTTTTAAAATTAATTTATATGTAGAAAAAGTACTGAATTCAAGTAGAATAACATTTATTGAGTGCATACTATGCCAGAAAACTGCTATCTATTATTTCATTTAATACTCATGAAACTTTATGATGTATATACTGTTATCCACATTTTACAGATGAAGAAATTGGGGTAAAAGTTTAAGGGACTTGTATGAATATGTCACCTGCCTGTCATAACACCAAAACTGGATGTGAATAGAATTAATTTTCTTACAGTAAGAAATTTGGCTTTTCACTTTTTACCACTTCACTATCATTGCTCTTAATAGAGAATCAAATTATTCTAACAAGATATATTAATACTGACTTGTTACTTTGGTGGACTTTTTTAAGTTTTTAAAGTGTGAGATGAATCATATTAAAATATTATCTAAGTGAATCAAGAATCTGACCCTTTGACTTTTAATGTACAAGATTTCCCCAACTTTGGTATACTCTAAAATAATAAAATAATAATCATATACCAAAGTCTAATATATGGTATAATGCTTAAGTCAGATTAATTCCAGCTCAACAGCTAAATCAAGTAGATATTAAAACAAAATTATATATTTAGAAATGAGTCTTATTATTTTTCTGTGTTTCTTTAGCCAGAAAAATGTAAGAAAAAGAAATGGTATAAAAGTGCACTACAAGAAGCCTACTTCCTCTATGGATATTCTCATGAGCAAAGACTGGAAATATGCCGCCTATCCAAACAGGGTATATGAACTTTATTATTCTTTACCACCCCAAAATGAGGATTTATTCAGATGCATGCTTTCCAAAATACATTTGCACATTTAAAAAAAAATCTCTTTTTCCCTTCATAAGAATATAATATATCGTTGTCCCCTGAAAAAATTTTTATATGGATTAATAGTATGTATTTTCCCCTTTGAAACTGTTTTAGTGACTAAACATACATTCTATTTAAATGCTTCTATCATCTTCTTTACCTTTAGACTATCTACGTTAAGTTCTCTTGTGTATTTCAAAGTATATATTTCAAAATTAGAAGCTGTGGCCTTAAAATATATTTCTGGGGTGAAACTTTCACTTGCATATGCTGCATTCTTTCAGAACAAAGTATTTTTCAAAATGTTTTATTTTTAAAGAAATTCAAGGCAGAGATAAAAACAATCTTCAACTTTTTTAATGAGGTGAAAAAATATGGTAAGATTTCAGGTCATTTTCAAAGAAAGTGCTCTTGAATCATAAATATTATGGTTTATAGATAGCTTTTTAAATGAATTCATCATAGGGATTATAGTAGGTAGGACACATTTTTAATTCTGAATAAGGTTGTCACATAAAAATAATGATTTTCGGGGTGCCTGGTGGCTCAGTCGTTAAGTGTCTGCCTTTGGCTCAGGTCATGATCCCAGGGTCCTGGGATTGAGCCCTGCATTGGGCTCCCTGCTCGGCAGGAAGCCTGCTTCTCCCTCTGCCTCTGCTACTCCCCTTACTTGTTCTCTCTCTGTGTCAAATAAATAAATAAAATCTTTAAAAAAATGGTTTTCAATAAACTTAAATATGTTCTTAGTGATAATAATTATCATCTTAATTACTAAAATGATCATCTTAAGTTTCAAAATAGATTATGGGAGGATCTGGCCTTTTAGTGCTGACTGAATTTTAAGAGTGACATCTTTTTCTTCATGGAATATAATATATATATATTTTTAAAACCTAGATGTGAAAATATTTTATTTGAGAAAAATTTAAATATTAACCCAGCTACCTAAGTTTAGATTTTAAAGGAAATAAGTAGATTTTAAAAGAGTGGAAAAGAATGACAAGCACATTACTCTGGTTTACTTTGAGACTGGGAAAAGAGACATTTATTACCGTAAATGTGATTTTATTCCTTGGGCTGAAAATATAATGTCTCTGTTTATTATCAGTAAAGGTTGAAGTCACTGTATTGTCACAAATACAATTTTATTCTTTTCACGGAGTGTATGTTTTTCTTGTGTAACCAAAATAAACTTTGAAGTATTTCGGCTTTTTTAGTGTTTTTAATATTCGTGTCTTGAAATAATATACTCAGTTATTTTTTAAAGTTATATTATAGCCATTTCACATTAGCAGTAGACACACTCTTTCAATAAATATGGAACTATGTCTCTGTCGTATGTGCTGCGTATTTATGTCTGTGTCCTTTGGCATTCTTGCTTGTCCAGAGACTATGGAGAGGGGTTTTTTCTCATTGGTTTTGCAGTAGACCATTTTCTTGTTGAAAGCCTGCTGACTTTTGCATGCAGAATTTGATGTAATTCAGTCTGATTATAGAGAGTCCTATGCCTAAAGAGATTCTTGTCCCCAAAGGAGCCAGAATGGAGGGGTACAAAGACACAGGAATTCAGTCTTTGCCATAATAGGCTCACTCACTTCATACTTACTCTTTACTATCTCCAAAATAGGCACTGTAATCCTTCCTTAGCTTCCAGGGTGAATTCTAGTACATATTCAGCTTCTTACTGTGTTCAAAAGTAACTTTGAGAGGTTATTAGCCATTATTCAGATATTTTACAAAAGGTGAGTAGCTTAGAGGCAAACAACTTATTTCATCCCAGCAACTTTGAGGATTTCTTTAACCCAAATGTCTTCTTCCAACCCAGAAATAAAGACTAGTAATTTCTTGGCCTAAATTCTTCCTACCCTACAGAAATTGGCACACTATTACGTTTGATGCAGCTCTTTCATTGTTGAAATCTGCAAGGTCAGTAAATGATATGTAAAAAATACAGACCCATTTCATATGGTAAGGGTATGTTTACTTTTATGAGAAACTGCCGAACTATCTTCCAAAGTAGCTGCATCATTTTTTCATTCCCACCAGAAATGAATGACAGTTCCTATTGCTCCACATACTTGTCAACATTTGGTGTTGTCAGTATTCTGGATTTGGGCCATTCTATTAGGTCTGCAGTGGTACCTCACTGATGTTTTCATTTGCAGTTCTCTAATGAAGTATGATGATGAACATCCTTTCATATGCTTATTTGCCATCTATAAATCTTCTTTGGAGAGGTGTCTGTTCACTGCCTGCTTTTTAATTCAATTGTTTATTTTCTTATTGTTGAGTTTTAAGAGTTCTTTGTATCTTTATAGCAGCATTGCCAACAATAGCCAAACTATGGAAAGAGCCCAAATGTGCATCTACTAATGAATGACTAAAGAAGGTGTGGTGTATATCTACAAGGGAATATTACTCAGCCATCAAAAAGAATGAAATCCTGTTATTTGCAGCGATGTGGATGGAACTAGAGCATGTTATGCTAAGCAAAATAAGTCAGTCAGAGAAAGACAACTATCATATGATCTCAATCATATGTGGAATTTAAGAAACAATACAGATGAATATATGGGAGGGGGGAAATGAGAGAGGGAGGGAAACAAACCATAAGAGACTCTTAACGATAGAGAACAAACTGAGGGTTGATAGAGGGAGGTGGGTGGGAGATGGGCAGATGGGTGATGGGGATTAATGAGGGCACCTGTTATGATGAGCACTGGGTGTTGTACATAAATGATGAATCACTGAATTCTACTCCTGATATCAATATTGCACTGTATGTTAACTAACTAGAATTTAAATAAAATCTGAAAAAAAAAAAAAAAGAGAGAGAAGCAAAAAAAAAAAAAAAGAGTTCTTTGTATATTTCAGATAACAGTCCTTTGTCATTTATTTTGTAAATACCTTTTCCCACTCTGGATTATCTTCTCATTCACTTGATAATATTCTTTGCAGAGTGGAAATTTTAATTTTAATGAAGTCCAGCTTATTATTTCTTTCATGGATCTTGCTTTTGATGCTATATCTAACGTCATCTGCATACCCTAGGTCATCTACATTTTCTCCTATGTTACCCTCTAGGAATTTTATAGTTTTACATTTTTCATTTAGATATGTGATTTTGAGTTAATTTTTGTGAAACGTGCAAGGTCTATATCTAGATCCATTTTTGTGACATGTAGATATCTATTTGTTCAACACCATTTGTTGAAAAACCATCTTTTCTCCATTATATTGTCTTTGTTCTTTTGTAAAATATCAGTTGACTATATTTATTGGGTCTGTTTCTGAGCTCTCTATTCTGTTCCACTGATCTGGTTTTTTTCATTCTTTTCCCAATATTACACTGCCATGATTGTTGTAGCTTTAGAATAAGTATTAAAGTCAGGTAGGGCCAAGTCCTCTGACTTTGTCCTTCAATATTGTGTTGGCTATTCTGCATCTTTGCCTCGTCATATGATCTTTAGATTGAGTTTGTTGATATCCACAAAATAACTTGTTGGGATTTTCATTGAGATTGCACTGAATCTATAGATCAAGTGGGGAAGAACTGACATCTTGACAATACTGAATCTTCTCATCCATAAATATGGAAAATACCCAGATTTGTTTAGGTCTTTGATTTTGTTCATCAGAGTTTTGTAGTTTTCTTCATATAATCTTGCCCATATTTTGTTAAATTTTCCTGAAGTATTTCACTTTGGGGGTACTAGTGTAAATGGTAATGTGTCTTTAATTTCAAATCCTACTTTTTCATTGCTGGTAAATAGGAAACTGATTGACTTTTGTGTGTTAACCTTGTGCTCTGCAACCTTGCTATAATCACTTATTTGTTCCAGGAGTATTTTTTTAATTCTTTTTTGGATTTTCTACATAGATAATCATGTCATCATAGTTTTGTTTCTTCTCAATCTATACCTTTCATTTCCTTTCTTTTTTTTTCTTATTGCATTAGCTAGGAGTTTCAGTACAAAATTAAAGAGTGGTGAGGTGGGAACATCTTTGACTTATTCCTAGTCTTAGTGGGAAAGCTTTGAGTTTCTCACCATTAAGTATGATGTTAGCTGTAGGATTTTTGTAGATTCTCCTTATCAAATTGAGGAAATTTCCCTCTATTCCTAGTTTGCTGAGAGTTTTTATCATGAATGGGTGTTAGATTTTGTCAAGTGCTTTATGTGCATCTGTTGATCTGATCATGTGACTTTTTTAACCTGTTGATGTGACAGATTACATTAATTGATTTTGAATATTGAATCAGCCTTGTATACCTCAGATAAACCTCACTTGTTTATGGTATATAATTCTTTTTATACATTGTTGGATTTAATTTGTAATATTTTATTGAGGATTTTTGCATCTATATTCATGAGAGAAATCGGTCTGTAGTTTTCTTGTACTTTTTGTGGTTTTGGTATACTGGCTTGGGTGAATGAATTAGGAAGTATTCCCTCTGCTTCTATCTTCTGGAAGAGTTTATAGAGAATTGGTATAGTTTGTTCCTTAAATGTTTGATAAAAATCACCAATGAACCTATCTGGGCTTCATGCTTTCTGTTTTGGAAGGTTATTATATTGATTCAATTTTATAAAAAGATATAAATTGTTTATTCTTGTGTGACTTTTGGCAGATTGTGTCTTTTAAGGAATTGGTCCATTTCATCTAGGGTATCAGATTTGTGGGCATAGTTATTCACAGCATTTCTTATTATCCTTTTAATATCTTGGGATCTGTAATGATGCCCTCTCTTTCATTTTTGATAGTTTTCTCTCTTTTTTCCTCAGACTGGCTAGAGTCTTCTTGATTTTATTGATCTTTTTAAAGAAACAGTTTTTGGTTTTATTTCCTCTATTAATTTCCTGTTTTTTATTTTAATGATTTCTGCTCTAATTTTTATTTCTTGTGTTTACTTCATATTTAACTT